TGTGTTTTGTGTTAACTTTGTGTACTTGTGTGTTGTGTTAACTTTGTGTACTTGTGTGTTGTAGGAACTGGCACGTGGATGAGCCGTCCTGCGGGTACGAAGTGTGTGTCGTCATGTACCACCAGCCGTCCGCCCCGGCGGGTCAGGGGGAGCTCTACATGTTCCAGTGGAACGACGACAACTGTGAAACCAAGAACAACTTCATCTGTAAATACACTGCAGGTCCGTCTGCTGCGCTCTCCCTTGAAAACGAAACTCAATAAATGTTAAATCAATCATTTGTTTTCTCCAGAGAAACCACCGGAGCCCACCCCGCCTGCCAACTCCACTCAGACAGGTGAGTCACTGGTAACAGCGCCGCAGCAGCTCGGCACATTTAACAAACCAGACGTCTTTCTGTCCAGATGTCGTCTTTCCATCTGCGCTTCCGTGGGATCCGAGGGACCAAAACCAGAACAAGGGAGCAGGTCCTTCAACCGTCACGATTTACCCCGAACCTCTGAGCTCATTTCTAACTGTGGGTCTGTAACGTTTCTGTGATTTTCAGCTGTGAATTTAGTTTACGTCATCATTCCCAGCATCCCCCTCCTGCTCCTGCTGCTAACGGTGCTGGGAGTCTGCTGCTTCAAGCTGCCGGGCCGACGGTGAGAAAAACAAAAGCCTGCAAACATTTTTAAACCTGATTTTAGTCTAAATCCTCCAGGAAGAAAGAAATCTGCATTACTCACGTGTGCTGGTAAGTCTTTGTTGATGAAGAGACATCAGGGGGATTCTCCAGAATGAATTGATTTCAAACCTGCAGTAATTATCAACGACTGACAACAGGTCTTAGCTGTGTTCCTTCAAGGAGGCCACACCTCACAGTGTCACCGAGCGCTTTACAGTCACTACTTTGTGGTCTAGTTTCATGGTTCATTGAACATGCATATACTGTCATTTCTGGACTGTTGAGTGCAAGCTGCACCCACTAAATGAAAAAATAAATAAAAATACAATTTTTGTACATATATAGGCCGCACTCGTCTTTAAGCCACAGGTGTTCACATTGTAACACAAGATATTTACACAGAAATTTTTTTTTTTTTAATACTTTTAATTAAATACGTACCGGTAACATACACAAACATGTACAGTATTTTTTTTTCTGAACAGTGCCTGTAACACGGCTGGTAAAAAAAAAAAATACAGTAGCTTACCAGGAAGTCACCGATCACCATCTTCACCTTCCTCCCGCACATCTTCATCATGTTGCCCCCCCTCCTTGGGGGCACAACGAGGAGGGGAGGAGAGAATGGGAGTGGGGGGAAATGAAGTTTCCCTCTCCTCAGTGGACCAATGATTTCATTGGTCAGATTTTTTTTTTAACCTTTATTTATACAAGTATTCTCATTGAGTCATGAGGACCCACCACCCGAGAGACGTATATTGGGCAGCTATGCATGTCCGGGTGTGACGAGGCTAAATATTTTGGCGGCATGAAGCTCGTTAACCTGTCCAACAAAAATAATCCATAAATTAGCCGCAGCATTGTATAAGCCGCGGTGTTCAAAGCCAGTGAAAAAAAAGTAACAGCTTATAGTGCGGAAATTACGGTAGATAACTGATATGTAACTGGGCATGGTGGTGCTGTTGGTAAAGCTGCTACCTCAGGGAGAAGGTCATTGGATCAAACCCCGGCCCAGGGGGCCATTGTGGGTGGAGTTTGCATGTTCTTGTGTGCATGCGTGGGGTTTCTCCGGGTGCTCTGGTTTCCTCCCACAGACCAAAAACATGCATGTTAGGCTGATTGGTAACTCTAAATTGTTCCTAGGTGTGAATGAGAAAGTGAATGGTTGTTTGTCTCATTTGTCTCTATGTGTCCCTGTGATGGACTGGAGACCTGTCCAGGGTGTCCCCCGCCTCTCGCAGTGACTGCTGGATATGGGCACCAGTGACCCCCGTGGCCCAAAAAGGAAGAAGTGGGTAAAGATAATGGATGAATATGCAGCTGTTCCAGCTGCTCTGCAGTCATCTAGACATCATCACTACCACGACGTAAAATAATCCATCCATCCATCCATTATCTTTACCCGTTTATTTCATTTTGGGTCACGGGGGTCGCTGGTGCCCATGTCCAGCAATCACTGTGTGAGGGGCGGGATACACCCTGGATGGGTTGCAAGTCCATCACAGGGCCACATAGAGACAAACGAGACAAACAACCATTCACTCTCTCACACCTAGGGACAATTAAGAGTTACCAATCAGCCTAACATGCATGTTTTTGGTCTGTGGGAGGAAACCGGAGCACCTGGAGAAAACCCACGCATGCACGGAGAGAACATGCAAACTCCACCCAGAAAGGCCCCTGGACTGGGGTTTGAACCAGGGACCTGCTCACTGAGAGGCAGCAGCTCTACCAGTTGCGCCACCGTGCTGCCCACGTAAAGTAATGAGAAAATTAATTTATAAATACGTCTATATACGAGTCAATATAAAGCCAAAGTGAAAGACATAGCTACGAAAAGATTTGGGGGCGTGGTGCCTGATTTTATGCAAGTACATTAATAACTGTAAAATTCTTGTTAGTCAGAGTGAATGGTGCTCAAATGAAGGCCGAGACACTGAGACAATAACTCTGAATTATAATCTGTGCTTTGTGTTTTTTTCTTTCAAAGTGGCAGACGTGGGCTTCCATTCTTCTGGCTGACAAAGCAGCTGTTGCCGTTTGTTTAAATTAATTCTTAAAAACTTTTCTACAACAGCTGGATACCACAGTTTTAACGAAAGTAATAATACTCAGAGGCCAAAGTTTTAAATAAAGATCTGTAGCTTTCCCTATGTGTTGGGGATGACTGTCAGTTACTACCACCTCGAACGGTAACACAGATAGTTGGTTTAGCGCTGGTCTACAGTTCAGTTTCCATTTTATGGTTCAGCTCGAGGTGTTCTGCTGTTGACGCTTATTTGTTTGTTTGTTTGTTTGTTTATGTGTTTGTTTTTGAAACAGGAGGAGGAAGGAGCAGAAGTCAGAAGTGTGTCAGACAGAACCAGGCCTTCATCCCAGTCCGTCCGCTGACGTCTACAACATCATCCACTCCCAGAAGGACGCCGACCTGGTCTCAGCTCGGCCTGAGACCAGAAACACCTCCTTCCTGTGCTCCTCCCCGGACACCGACACCCCGACAGGAGACTACGACAACCTGGGCGCCCGGGACACCGAGAGTGGCTTCGTGACTCTGGCGAGCACAGAGAGCGGTTACCTGAACTTTGACCTCAATGAGCTCAGCCTCGGGCGCCGTGGCGTCCGGGAATTCTACGATGGCAGCTTGGGCCGCCCGGGAAAGAGGGAGCTGAATGACGGCAGCCTGGGCCGC